GAATTATACTCAGTTTTGCTGGGTAGGTGATTCTTGGTTGTAATCCTATCTCCTTTGCCCTCCAGAATATTATATTCCATGCCCTGTGGTCCCTTAATGTAGAAGCTGCTGAATCTTGTGCTATCCTGATTGTGTTTCCACAATACTTGAATTGTTTCTTTCTAGGTGCTTGTAATATTTTCTCCTTGACCTGGGAACTCTGGAATTTGGTTACAATATTCCTAGGAGTTTTCCTTTGGGGATCTCTTTCAGGAGGTGATTGGTGGATTCCTTCAATTTCTGTTTTATCCTCTGGTTCTAAAATGTCAGGGCAGTTTTCCTGGATGATCTCTTGAAAGATGATGTCAAGGCTCTTTTTTTGATCATGGCTTTCAGATAGTCCAATAATTTTTAAATTCTCTCTCCTGGCTCTATTTTCCAGGTCAGTTGTTTTTCCAATGAGATATTTCACACTGTTTTCTAATTTTTCATTCTTTTGGATTTGTTTTACAGTGTCCTGATTTCTCAAATTGTCACTAGCTTCCAATTGCTCCATTCTAATTTTTAAGAAAGTATTTTCTTCAGTAAGCTTTTGGACTTCCTTTTCCATTTGGCTAATTTTGCTTTTAAGGGCATTCTTCTCTTCATTGGCTTTTTGGACCTCTTTTGCCATTTGGGTTAGGCTATTTTTTAAGGTGTTGTTTTCTTCAGTATTTTTTTGGGTCTCCTTTAGCAAACTGTTGATTTGTTTTTCATGATTTTCTTGCATCACTCTCATTTCTCTTCCCAGTTTTTCCTTTACTTCTCTTACTTGCTTCTCAAAATCCCTTTTGAGCTCTTCCAAGGCCTGGGACTGATTCATATTTTTTCTTGGAGGCTTTGGATGTAGGAGCTTTGACTTTGTTGTCTTCTTCTGGTTGTACGTTTTGATTTTCTTTGTCACCAAAGTAAGATAATACAGTCTGACTCTTTGCGCTACTTACTCGTGATCCCAGCCAATTACTTGAGTTTTAAACTATCTGTTAATGTAAAAGTCTGTTTCCAATGCGGAGAATGTACTGTCCCAAGCTTCAGGGGTTTGTGCAGCTGTTTTCAGAGATACTTCCAGGGACCTGAAAAGTGTCAGTTCTTCCAAGGTGCTATGATAAGGGGCAAGATGTTTCCTCTCCACCACCACCACAAGCTCCACCATGCCAGCACTCCTCCTTGCCCCAGGACCACCCCTCAGAACTGTGACCCAGATCCACGCATGGGCAAAGCCTTGCTTTGAGGCAGATTCCTGCCTCAGCACTGGTAAAGAGATCCCTGTAATCCCTCTCTGATCAGCAACTTGATTCCCCCTCAGTCTGTGGGCCAGAAGCTTAGGAGGCAGCCGCTGCCCCAGAGGCTGCGCTCGGGAGTTGTGGCTGAGACCTAGCTCCTCTGTCACTGTAGTCATAGACTTTTCCCACTGACGTTCCAAGTTGGCTTTGGAGTTCATGGGTTGAGAAATCTGGAAACCACCACAGCTGCCCATGAATCAGCCCTCTGAGGCCTGCTCCTGGTTCGCTGTGGCCTGTGTGCCCACGCTGAACTGCGCTCCTCTCCTAGCCCAGCACCATATACCTTTTTGATCAACCATCCAGGTTGTTCTGGGCTGGAAATTTGTTTCACTCTGTCTTTTTATGGGTTCTGCTTCTTTAGAATTTGTTTAGAGCCATTTTTTTTAATAGGTATTTGAAGGGGTTTGGGGGAGAGCTCAAGCAAGTCACTGCTTTCCCTCCGCCATCTTGTCAGTTAGCCATTTCTCAGATGACATCCTTCACCCTTTTTGTCCTGTTTACTTTCTTGTTTGTAATGTGCTACAGCCTGCTGACCCTCACTACAAGCTTCCTGATGCCCTCAAGTTCAAAGTGGTCTTAGGGATCTCTGTTTTGGGGAGATGTCTGAGGTTTTTAACACAGCTTCCCAAAGGAAATGCAGCCTGTGTTTGTCCTGTTCAGTTCTGAGCCCAGGTCATAAAGAGTGTACTGATGGACAAAAGACATTCTTCACCCACTTGTGCAGAGCAGGGCTGGTCTCCCTGGAGTGACTGTGGATCTCATTCAGAAGCTTTGAGGTGCCATGGGCACTGAGGCAAATGAGGCACCTGGAGAATCATCTCCAAGATGGGGCATTCCTCTTTAACTAAGACTGGCGCTGGCTAAACCTGGGAGAGTGGGAACCATCTCTAGCAAAAACACATCTCCCTGTTTCATGCTTCATTTGGCATTAATCATCAAAGAGCCAACAAAGTCATCTTTATTGTACAATGGGGAAATTTTTCAAACTTTGACACGCATATGGGAGACACCATATTTGAGAACAGTTTTGTTTTGTTTTGTTTTGGTTTTGGTTTTGGTTTTTTGGGCTAGTGACCTGCCCAGGGTCACACAGCTATTAAGTGTTATGTGTCTGAGGCCGGATTTTGTTCTCCTGAATCAAATGCTTTTTAACACTCAACAAATAACAAATAAAGTGGGATCTTGAATTCTCCATGACTTCCGGTCAATGTAAATACAGTGAATGTAAAAACAGTGTCCACTGCAGATAATAATCAGGGGAAATTATGGTCTCCACAGGCTATACAGAAATTGCCTCTTCCCTTGTCTTCCTTCACCAAGGATACTCTCACTACGGATGTCGATGATTCCCACAAAATGTTACACAGGAAGGGAGGTATAGAAAAGGAATCCTCACTCTCTGCCTTCTGCCATATTTCTGGTACTGATAAAAGATCAAGATTAATGTTTGGTACACTCTCCTCCTTCAGATACCTTAAGAACTATCCTGAAACCCTCCAAATTGTCTCATCTACAGCAGAGACCCCTTCTCTGAAAGACTTCCTCTGTCTTCTTCAGGATCATTACTCTCTCAGTCTACGCATAGAGTCCAGAACGCTAGTCCAGACAGCGTAGCCCAACCGTCACCGAGGACGAGCTGATTACAGAAATCCTCACAGATCTTTTCCATTTTTTCCCTGCTTGCTATTTTCCTTCCCGTTTCATCCTGAAATGCCCTCAGGATGACCCTTCTTCAGAGTCTCTTGCCAAGATTTCTTCCAGCTGTTTTCCCTCGGCTGCTCCTTGCTGTTCAATGAAGCAGTGCTGCTTAGAACACTCCACCAACCTCCTCCATGAGATTTCACAAATAAGAGGTTTGTGTCCTGAGCCCATGTTGTCCTTGGCTTCCCTAACTCCCCCTTGGCAAGGAGATCAAGTGTTTGCTGGCTGACACCACTTCTGGGCTCTTCTCGTCTCCCCATCCCAGTAACTGATTTATATCAGCTAAACTTCTTAGGGTTAATTTGGACTGAGGCTCATACCTCCATTCACTTCCCAGTTTTCAGTGTCAACATCTTGCTTAAATAGAGCAAGGCAGGGTGGTTTTAAGTGCAGGTCATAGTTTTTTTCACTTTTATTCTTTTCTACTTTGAACTAATTATGATCGTTCCTCCAACAAGTCGATGGGTCACACCACAGAGACAGCTGGTAAGGGTATGATTCCTGTATCAGTAATCACTCACTTCCCTACTGTTAACATTTAACCATTTTAATACTGGAAGTTATTTGGTGCTCGTCACTTCCATGGCAGGCCAGCTGGCACAGTGCACAAAGCTCTAGGCCTGGAATCAGGAAGACTCATCTTTCTGAGGTCAAACGTGGCCTAGCTGGGTGACCCTGGGCAAGTCACTTCACCCTGTCTGCCTCAGTTTCCTCCTCTGGAAAATGAGCTGGAGAAAGAAATGGCAAACCAGTATCTCTGCCAAGAAAACCCCAAATGGGGTTGCAAAGAGGCAAACACAACTGAGAAATGAGTTAGCAACATGAAACTTCCAGTGCCTGACCAATTATTCCCTTGAAATTTGTCTCATAACTTATATTTGCACTTTTAAGTACCTGTCCCTCCACACAGCCCCTCCCCACCATTTCTCCAGGTACTACCAAAGAGCTTGCATAGTACCAGCCACTAGAGGGCGCCAGAGGGCACACACAGAGTGCTGGGCCTGGAATCAGGGAGCCCTGACCTCCAAACCACATCCCAATACTAACAAGCTGCATGACCCTGAGCAAGCCACTTGACTTCTGTTTGCCTCAGTTTCCTCATCTGTAAAATGGGGGTGATAATAGTGCCTACCTCCCAGGATTCTCTTGAGGATCAAATGACATACTGACACTTCGCAAACCTTAAAGCGTTATATGATGATCACCATCACTACGATGTAATATGATTATTAATGTTCTTGGTGGTGGTGGCCAAGAAAACACCCCCAGGCCTACAGGACCGTGTCTCCCCCTCCCTGTCTGGAAAGGTCCCAAGCCCGTTTCCACGCCCACACCTTTGCTCTGTGGGTTCCTGAATCCTTTCTGTCTAACCAAGTCTCACTCCCTCCAGAAGCATTTCCCCAATGCCACTGCTCACCCGGCTCCCGAAGATCTGGCATCTGCGCCCAAGCGTCATCCCTCATCCCCTCCCTGCTGAGCTTTCACCGTCCCCAGCTCATTTGCCCATTCCCGGTCCTCCTGATCGTGCTCCTGGGTAGGGCTCCAGTTTGCCAACATCCTTCCTAGAACACGGTGACCAGCCAGAACATAAGTCTCGTCCATGCATGTGTCCCCAGCAGAGGGCAGCCAGTCTACCCGCAAGGCCACAGGATGGCACGAGCTCTTTGGGCTGCCATTGTTTGGGCTGTTTTCTAATTATTTAGATATGTCAGTCTTGTCTCCCCGCCAGACTAGAAGCCACTCACGCCTCCTGTGTGCAAGGCATTGTGCCGACTCATCGGGATACAAAGATAGTCCCTCCCTCAAAGAACATACTTTCTACAGAATGTTATCAAAGGTACAAACATAAATAAATGTGAAGTACACAAACATGGGAATGAAATAATTTCCGGAGGAGTTTGGGAGGAGGGGTCAGCAAGGAGCGCCGGAGGGCCCACAAAGTGCTAGGCAAGCGCATCTGTAAGCTGAACACCTCTGGGAGGGAGGGAGGGTCCTTACCTTGCCTTCCGGGGTCAGCTTCCAGATGACAGAGAAGGTGAGCTTGTCAGTCATGGGGTTGAGGCTGCACAACTCCTCACAGAGCAGTCTGGGGAGCATAGGGATGACCTGTCCACACAGAAAAGCACAGGTCATTTCCATGCTTAGGGTGGACAGATGAGCTGGAAGGGCGAAAGAAAGCCAAGTTCAGCACAGGACCTTTTGTGCTGAGAAAAAGATCAAGGATGACGCAGAGTGGCACAGTCGAAGACCACTGGTTCTAGAGTGAGAAGACCTGGGTTCAAATCCTGCCCCTAGTGCTTACTACCTGTTGGACTAAATGACCTCAGAGGTGCCCTCTAGCTAGCTATCTCCTTACTGAAGAAGCCTTGGGGGAAAAGCGACTTCCCATATCTGTCTGTGCCATTTTCAGGATCCTCCTGGCCCCGTACCAAAGCAGTCTGGGAAGGCAGCAAGCATTTAAGAAGCACCTGTGGTGGGTCCCTGCCCTCAAGGCACTTCCATTCCTCTAGGAGTGGTGGATGGGGAAGGATGCCAGACGGTGCCCCTGGCTCTAGTATCAACAGTAAGATGGTGATTGCTCCCCAGGCAAGGGTGGGTCAGGGCAGAGCCCTTCACCCAGGGCCTCATCTGAACTTCCCAATGGGCCTGGGACCCTTCCGCTAGGGAGAAACTGAGGCTGGCCAAGGGAAGGTGATTTCACAGCCAGTGAAGTCCCAGGCAGGATCTGGTGCCGGGTCTCTCCTGGCGGAGTCCAGGCCTTTTTTCACTCTTCCATGTTACTTTTTGGAAGGCAACTGAAGAGGAAAGCAAAGTCACCATGTTTCACATTAAGCTGAAAGAGAGAGTCATGCCCCAAGAAAAAGGTCAGCACTTTGGGTCTCTTCGATCATTCCTGCATCTGAACTATCCACAAGAACCTGACAGCTGCCTGAGAATCACCAACTGAGTCGGAGTCAAATCCTGTTTCGTGAGTGAATGCTCCCTGATGTATCAAACCCCGTGCTGGCCTGGCCCCAAAGGGTGCCAACGTGCTGTCCAGGGGTCTGAGAAGGCCTCCAGTGCCTGCCTTCCATAACAGGGCACAAGAGGCCCCACGTTCCAACTTCATCACTGGCTTCTTTTCAACATGTGTCTAAATGAAGAGTGACAATCGCCCCACTGTGTCTTTGAAACGGAGCTGATTCAATTGGTGCTTCTGGCCTCTTTAAGCATCTAACAATGATTAAACAACAAAACAGTGTATTTAATAAGCCTGAAGCCAGATTCAGACCTGACAAAGCCTTTCGAGGTCCTCCTGGTGTTGTCTGCAGCCTGTCACAAGCTGTCACACCCTTGCTGCTGTCTTCACTCTGGACAGTGCCCCCAAAGTCAGCCCTGGCAGCGTGCAGAGGCAAGCTACGGGCTTACCCTGGGACAAAGCAGGAGTCCAGCATTCCTCAGGAGCTAGATAAGCCACTTCCCCAGCACAAAAGCTGCCCAAACACATGGACAATGGCTCACCCTTCCATAAATTACACCTCTATTATTACGTGAGAGGGACCACGTAGCCTGCAAAGGCAAAGAAAGCCTGGGAGGGCAAGTTAACAAAGTTGCTCTGACATCTACCCCAAGAGGATTTGGGGTCTATAAGTGCAGCTCGGAGGCTCAGGATCAAATGAATTCCAGGAGTGCCCACAGGATGCCCACCTCCCACGGACGATGTTCTCACCCTTTGCCCTTTGACACCTGCCCCGTCCCTGTGAGGCAGATGGAGCTTCTCCTCAGCAGACACCAAGGGGCTAACATGTCACCAGCCTTCTTTGCAGCGGGGAGCACCCAGCCTCACTGCCTGGGCTGTGTGGCCGCCACTGGAGGGCACATCTGGTTTGCCCAGAGAGCACTCAGACTAGCAAGGCTGTGCAGAAAGGGGAAAGAAGGCCACTCAGTAGTTAGATGAGGGCCTGGATCTTGGCTTGGTCACTCATCACGCAGTGATTGGTTCAGCTCCTGTCCACTCCCTATCTGTGACCATATAATTCTATCTTTCCCAGGACATTGAGCCTATTCATAACGTAAGTTTAGCTACTGGGGGGATTATAAATGACATTAATCACTGCCTTTCATAGAGGGCTTCAAAGTTTATAGATGACAACAACAACAAAGTTAATACAATTAATACTCCCATTGTACAGCCTGGAAGAAAGTAAGTGATTGTCTGTGGTTAAACATCTAGTCAGTGTCAGAGGTAAATCTGAACCCATGTCTTCATGACCATAAGTTCAGCATGCTACTTACCCATTAAGCCTTGCTGCCTCTCACTCCACTTTTACAAAAACAGAATTCTTTATTAAACAACCACAAACAGCATTACCAAAGACTGTTAGACTTCCACCACGTCAAAATTTAAAAATCTAAATGACTAGGTGTAATTTATAATTCCCTTTCCTGACGCCATGGCACCTGGCCTGCATTCCAGTCCTGGAGGCGCCACTGCCCTGTCTGATGGCAGCCCCATCATACCCTGTCTCTGACCTGGCTCCAGTCAGGCGTGGTGTTACTCCTCCATCTCGGAGTCATACCATCACCCATCTCTAGCCAACACTGTTCCTAGAAAAGACGTGTCCATCTACCGCCCCAGAGCTGCACTCGCTATTCCTGTCCACCACATCCCTTGTCCTCCCCCTTAGAATGGAAGCTCCTCGAGGACAGGCACTGCCTTCATTATCATAGCTGTATCCTCAGCTTTTGGCACTTAACCAGTGCCCATTCAACAGTGGTGCCTTTCTCCTTCATCCTTAGAGTTCCCATTCCTTCCCATATTTTTCCCCTTATGGCTTGACAGAAAGAAACTTGGCCTTTTCTTTATCTGTCGATCTTGATGCCCAGCACCCAAGTCTTGTCATCCATTCAGCGACGGTTTCACTCCAAGCCTCAACAGCTTTCTCCATCGCTGTGGGTGAGAGCAACGATTTCATTCTCTTTCTTCCTCTGCCCTCCCCAAGGCAGGAAGCGAGAGAACCTTCCCCGTCAGCACCCCACCCCCACCCTCAGGCAGGGCTCCCTCTCTTCCCCTCCAGGTGAAAGCACAGGGTCCATCTCCGGACACAGCCTGGCTCTCGGGCCAGGGGAGAAGCTGGTCTCCTTGCCTCTTACAGCGAAGGTGAGCTCTTCCTTGACCTCGCTCTGAGCTCTCAAACCAGCCTCAGCAGGCACATGCATGCATTGCTGTCCCATGAGTACTAGCAACAGAGACTTTGAACCTGGGCCCGGTCACCGATCCACACTCACACCATCGAGGGTATCACTTTCTCAGACAATATTTAAGTATTTAATATTTAATGAGATTTTTTCAGTAGTGTCACTGAATTTTGGTGGCCCTACACAGCTTGGCAATCACTCTGTATTGTAGGTCTGAGGACAGCTAAGTAGCGCCACAGTGCATGGAGCACCAGGCCTGGAGTCAGGAAGACTCACATTCCTAAGTTCAAATCTGGCCTCGGATATTTAATAGCTAGGCAATTCCCTTCACCCATGTGCCTCAGTTTCCTCATCTGTCAAATGAGCTGGAGAAGGAAACGGCAAACCATTCCAGTATCTTTGCAACAAAACCCCAAATGGGGTCATGAAGAGTTGGGCAAGACTGAAAAATGACTAAACGACAAGAAAAATTATGCATCTGAACAAGCATGTAGTTTATGGCACATTTGTCTGTTCTCATATGAATAAAAGCACATTGAAGTTGAGCTGGAGAACTCAGTGGAGTTTTCATTCAAAGTGAAGTAAACAACAGTGAGATGACAGATGAACTTTGCTTCTCTTTGTCATTTCAGATTCATGGACTTTCTCTGACACTGGAACATACAGGCAGAAAACAGAATGAAAGTTCTGTTTCCCCCATATTTGCACACAGGCTCCTGTGAGATCCAAACTGATCAATGTCCATCAACTCACGGAACAGGAGCAGCAGGATCCGCAGCCGGGGTGAGAGCCGTGTTCCCCGGCCTCAGCTCTCTGGGCCTCACTCCTGACCTTCTTCCTCGCACCTTCTTTTCAGGTGCCACAAGGGAGGAGGGACGGCCCTCGCTTCCCTCCCCTGGCCTGTAATGGCCATGGTGTCTTGTAGCAGAAACCCAAACAGTGACTGACAACAAGCCTCAAAAATGGCCCTTTCCAGGCTCGGTGGTTTCCTTGGAAGTGCAGTCAAGAGATTTCCTGATACACCCTGCTTAGTGCAAAGGGAAGAAGGCAGTAAAGGGGGCTCTATGCGTAATTTCTTCTTTATAGGGCTAGGAGATAAATGGGACCAACCCAGGTGTCTGACAGCTGCTCCCAGGAAAGGGAAGATGTGTTCAAGAGATGACAGGCACTGACTTTCTAAGCTCTTGGGATTAAGGCCATTTGAGGAGACTGGAATAAGGTCAATCACTCAGGCAAATAAAATACTTCTCAGGGCAGCTGCTGGGGCTGCCAATAGAACTATAAAGTCTTAGATTAGCCTCAACCCTTCCTCTCTCCCCCCAAAACCCCAAACTCAGAAACATGTGCTAAAGCCACAGCCAACGGGCTGGCCAAGTTCAGCATCAGGCTAAGGGCCATACAGGAGCAGAGTAAATCAGATAAACAGGGACAAAAAGGAGCACCAGATCCCCACAGTGCCTTCAGGCTGACCACAGATTTTAGAATAATCAAAGGCTCTGGGTGCTAGGCCTTGGCTGGTTCCTCTACCTTATCTGTGCAAACTAAGGAGAGATCAGACTCTTAGGCTGAGAGCTTGGTTGGGTTTTTCCCCTTTTTCTCAGGGTGGAGGACTCCAGAGGGTGAACAATAGGGTAAAATGAAGTAGTTTACCACTCACATATTAAATGACACTGAGAGGAAACGGTCAATTCATTTTCTAGCCAACATTTCTGTTTTAAGAGTTTTCTTTTTCATATCAACACTTCCATGAATTCAAATTTTGATCAACTCTGTTACCCAGCTTGACATTAACAAAATACCAACACCCCTGACTGCTTGCTGCTGACAGAAGTGACCATCTTAAAACTCTTTGGACTCGACATTCAGCCTAGCTTCTAGTCTCAATCTTTGATCTCCATTATAAAGCAACACCAATAAAATACTGTAGAGATTTATGGCCGACCTTTCCCTTGAGCTGTTTCACACCTAAAACAACACCAGCGCCCAAGCCAAAAGACAGAGAGTTTACGGTTAGGTTTCAACTGTTTAGGTTTGCTCTTGCTTTTTAAACTTAATACACTCATTTTTAAAACTGACTTAGAAAAACATTTGCAATCATAGGGTACCTCCCTCCCAGCTCATGGAAGATGGTCCAGAGAATTTCCATAGGAACACTTCATTGCCTTCTTAGGAAGGGTCACAGAGCTCTAAGCTGGGATGGAAGGCAGAAAATCCCACCTGGCTTTCTAAAGCTCTCTCCTGCCCCACACCCGATTCAAAGGGAAGCGTTTTCTAGGAGATTTCCACGGCCATCTTGTTTTAATTCTCCTCTTCTGCCCCCACCCAGTCTGTCCTTTGAACCAGAAGGAATACACATTTCTCACCAGGAGCACAATTTTCACAAAGGGACCTCATTTAAATGTCAGCAAGAAGGATTTCAGATCCAAGATCATGTTCACTGCACAAATGTCCTAATCGGTGGGATCATTTCCCTTGTGCTGAGGCATGAGGTTCACCCTGTCACTGTCACTGCCTCTGTCCCCAGGAGGTCAGCAGTCAATGAACCAGGGTTACAGATGGTGGGAGAGAAACCATAACAGGGACGCTGCAGGAGAAGACCCTCTCTCTCACAGACATCGACACGGTCCCTGGGCACACGAAACTCTGGGTGGGGCGAGGCTCGGCACATATGCCACAATAAGAAAACACACGAGCTTTTCCTGAAGTGGGAAGCTGTCTGCCCAGCTTCCAAAGCAGATCTTCACAGGCACAGTTTAAAAAACAAAACAAAACAAAAAACATCAAGAAAGACACAGTCTTCCAAGAAACAAAAGCAACAAAGAGGAATAAAGGTCAAAGCAGTGGTCTAAGGTTACCCAAATGCCCATGTTCTTGCTGTCCAGAGCTGGGCACCAGACCCTGGAGGAACTGGCCAGGATGGCTGATGTGCATCCAGGATGATGCTGAGGCTCTGGGGGGAGGTGGGGGGGGGAAACTTCTATGCTAGTTTCAGGTCCCCACTTCTGAAGGAAAGAGCCCCTCTTCTCCAGGAGTCAATCTTACATTCGCCCCATTTTACTATAGAATAAAAAAAGAGAAGCCAGGAGGAAAATACAAAGCCATTCTAACAACATAACAAATTTGCAATAATCTTTTTTTGTTTGTTTGTTTTGCTTTTTGGTGAGGCAGTTAGGGTTAAGAGACTTGTCCAGGGTCACACAACTAGTAAGTGTCAAGTGTCTGAGGCCGCATTTGAACTCGGGTCCTCCTGAATCCAGGGCCAGAGCTCTATCCACTGCGCCACCTAGCTGCTTCCCCTGTAATTATCTTTTAGTATTCAAGGCTGAACCTCAGAAAGAAGGTAATCAGACAACTGTCCCCAAAGTTTCTCTAACTGTAAGAAAAGTACCAGAAACACTGATTTCTGCAAAGGACTAGGCTGGCGGCCACACTTGGTTAAAGTTGTCAGGGGCCAGAGAGGGGGACCATGATCCCTCTCTCCTAGAATCAGTGAATGTTAGAACCAGAAGGAACCTTTGGGAGCAACTAACTAGTTCAACCCCCTCATTTTACAGAAGAGGAAAATGGAAGAAGCCAGAGAAGGATGCTGATGAGATGCCCAGGGCAAGACGTGAGCAAGTCCAACATGTGGCACTCCTGGCCCACGTGCCAGGGGACCCAGAGAGGTAGCAGGAGATCCAGGAGCAGCCTCCCAGGAAAACCCTAACGCCAGGCTCCTGGCCGAGCAGACTGGCTCTCTTGGACACAGGAGGCAGGGGGTGGATGCGTCCACCCTCCAGTCTGTGAGCTGTTTCTAGAGCCACCAGGATGAGGATGGTCACACAGAGCCAGAAAACCTGCATCAGAAGTCCAGCTCTACTTCTCATGGGCATGACCTCCTTGGACCTCAGTTTCTCCTCTGCCAAATAACCAGCTGGTCTTGTGATTTCTCTCCCACTCTCAATCTCAGAGGCCAAGAACCTCTGATCTCCAGGGCAGGCTTGCCACCACATGGGGTCACAAATGCTTGGAAAACCACATCTGCTTTTCCCCTGACAGCTCCAGTAAGGCTCCCTTTTGGACAAATGGCCACTGATGATGCAGCCAGCCAGAAGAAAGCAAACACTGCAAAGCCAAAGGTCAAGTGTGTCCCTGGAGGGCATTCTCCTTAGGCCGCAGGTACAGCTTGGCCAAGTTAAAACACTACTACTGCTCCCAGGTGGCGCCACAGTGCATAGAGCACCAGGCCTGCAGTCAGAAAGACTCATTTTCCTGAGTTCAAATCCAGCCTCAGACACTGCCTAGCTGGGTGACCATGGGCAAGTCACTTAACCCCGTTTGCCTCAGTTTCTTCATCTGTCAAATGAGCTGGAGAAGGAAATGGCAAACCACTCCAGGATCTCAGCCAAGAAAACCCCAAATGGGGTCATGGGAAGTCGGACGTGACTGAAACAATTGAACGATAAAGTTCTCCCAAACACAGCATCGAGTGAAGGGCAAAGAGGATAAGGTAAACAAGAAAGCGCCCTCCATACCAAGCAGATGGAGGCTGTCTCTTACCTTCTGCACCAGGTAGACACTTGTGGCCCTCTCACTGGCCACTTCATCCAGAGCCGATCCTTCTGGGACAAAGTAACTGACATCTGCGATGTGAACTCCCACTTCAAAGTTCCCTGCAAAGGCACGAGATGATTAGAAGGGCAGGGACAGAGCCCTCCCCCGAGCTCCTCTAAAAGCCCTGGGCGTTTGAGGGTCCCTGCGGCCAGGTCACCTCCTTGGTAGGAAAAGGCCCAAGCGGCCGGGCTTGGTGACGAGCCAGAGTGAACCAGCTCCAAGGCAGTGCCCACAGCAGGGGACAATGAGCCCTTTCCTAGGATGAAGACCAAGCATCTTCATTTCTTTTCTCAGTTGACATGACTGAACCTGTTTCTACCACCGAGATTAGAGTGAATGACTCTGAGGCCACTGGGAGTTCCCCTGGATCTAGAAATCCTGGCTTTGCCAAGTCTCTTGCAGGAATCCCACTTCCCATTTCCATTATGAGGCTCTCACTCCCTTTCATGGCCTCTCCTTTCCCATCAGGCTCTTGTGACAGCTTCCCTGCTGGTTCACTCTAGCCTGTTCTACGAGGGCAGACTCATCAGCCTGAAGCACCCTCTGATCTCCTCACTCCCCAGAATAAGATGGATATCAGGTATTCTCTGGGACCATCAGCAACACCTACTATGACTAGGGACCTAATAAAGGCGGCTGCTGGTTGATCCAGCACTGTCCATCGTGAAGCCTTCATTCGTGACCGCCATCCAGGGGCAACCTGTCTCTCCTCTGGACTCTCATAATACTGTCTCTGTCCTTGTCCTGGGGCACTTGTCACATCCTGTCTATTGTCTTTGATGACAATGAATTAGGACATGCCTTATCTTCCTCAAGACCAGGTTACTAAATAAGGCAGTCTGTCCTGATGTCTGTAGCCCTGGTAGTGATGTGCCAGTGGGGACATTCAACAAGCATGAGCTGGATCCATCAACAGAGCAGGTTCTGAAAGGGCCCTCTGAGGCCTAAGAAGAACTCAGGAGTCAGTCTTCTTCACATGCATCCTCCGTCACGTACAGGTAACCCCCTCCCCCCCTCGAACAAAACCCCACTGTATGGCAACAGGTCTGGATATATGCCTTTGGCAGGCGAGTTCTCGTCCCACTGGTGCTCATCACAGTCCCTCTATGAGTCAGCAGATGCTAAGTGGAGCCTAAGGAGAGAGCTAGGGATCTGCTGCTGCTGAAAAACCCAGCCCCACCCCCCAGCCACCCCATGAGGAGCCCACCATCCTGTGGCTGGGCCGAGCCTCAAGGGACAGAGAGAGTTCAGCAGCAGCCCACAGTGCACTCTGAGACTTCCCACACGAAGAGCCCTGCGAGATCTTAACACTTCCCAATGCCCAGCCTTCAGTGTTCAAGATCACCTCCATGCACACAGCAGGTCACCTACCCAGCCATCTAGCTACCCCACGATGAGTGGGCTCTACCATGATACCTGCTTACTCTCCTGACCCTCTCCCCATAGCGGCTAGTCTTATGCCAACTTTAATCACTAGGAGGAACAAAACATACCACTGCCATCTGAGCGAGCGGCTCAGGAGTCTGATAGACCAAGGATTCAAATACGGATTTGATCCTCTTTACCCCAAAGTCTTACCCTGAAACCACACTCCTACAGACACATTCATTTCTCTCCAGTCTTTCAGAGGCTACAAAGAACAGGCTTCTGCCTAAGACAAAGGCAACGTTCTGTCGCAGCTGAATTCCTGCCCGGGGCCCTTCTCCAGAAAGGACTTGGGGGCAGCTCCTCGGCCTGCCACCATTCACCTAGGCATCGAGGTCAGTGGGCCCAGCCGGCTTGTGGCATCACCAAGCCATCAAAGAAGCCAGCCTTGGCAAGTTCAACTTCTACTTTAATATTACAAGTATCTAAAGCCAGCACCGAGAAGATGAAATAGAATGGCTTCCTTTGAAGTCACTGTTTTAATTTATTGACCTAAGAGATCAATATTGACTAAGGGAGAGGAAAGGGGGTCATTACATCACATCCATCCAGCTGAGCAGTCATTGTGCACTTAACTTACTACACATGAACTTTCTGTCCTTAGTCAAAATTGACAAACTGACAAAGATCTTGTTACAAGAGGGAAAACACGCAGCGGGCCAATCAAAACACATGGAAGAGCCTTAAATTTCACTTAGGATTCCCATTAGAGGCCCTTAACCAGTGGTCAGCGCTCCCCCCACTTTGGCACTTTTTGTGGAAGCCCTAAGTAAATATTTTATTCCATATGCTTACATAATTTGAACTGGCAGCTCTCTGGCGGTAGTGATGCTAAGGGGTTAGTGTGTGTGAGGGAGATATTTGCCATCAGCCAATACCAGAGTTCTCTGCAACATGGTGTTTGTAAAACTGTTGCTTCCCAGCAGAAAAATTCCATGGTCTTCTGCAAGGTCAGCTGGTGCGTGAGGGACGAGGGTGGTCACTGGTCACAGATGGGCAGGTCGTCCAAAGCCAGGAGGGGAGGGAGCGATCAGCCCAGAGCCTGAGCACGGCCAGGGTCAAGGCTATGTCAGGCAGCTCTCTTGCACAGAGCCCACCCTGGCTGCAAACCAGCAGCAGCCAGGGAAGCTGGCCAGGCACCAACATGGTTTCCCAAATGTTTCATGATCTCACTGACTTGGGTGTTCCCTCTGACAATGTAATCCAGACCTGCCCCTCCCCTCCTTGCCCCTCTCCTCCCACCCCAGCAAGCACTGCAGACCTTCCTCACGCTCTCCTGACGGACGACATCATCGACATCATCATCATCATCATCATCATCATCACAGCATGATCACCATAGCCTAGTCAAGTGGGAGGGGGCCTAAAGGCCCTCTCATCCCACCTCCCATCGTGGCAAAGAATTCTTTCTGGGACACTGCTCACTAATGGCCTCTTTCTCCCCTCTCCTCTCTCACAGCTCTTCCTCTGGAGGTGGTAACAGCGAGTAGAAGGCACTCAGATGTCCCTCAGAATACCCCTGGGGGGGGACCTTCCTCCAGCCAGTGAGGACGAGCTCATCACCTCCCAAGGGAGCCTGTTGGCTCCCCAGGCGGGCTTTCTGTTTTCCTTTGATCTTCTTAGTTTATTAACCTCTTTCTGCCTCACAGCTCTTCCAACATCTGAAGAGAGACAGCTCCAATGCTCTCCTTCCTTCCAGTTCAGCATTCCCAGATCTTCCAACTTTTCTTCCTGGGGCAGGTGCTTATAGAGCCTCATCCCCTGCTGCTAAGATCTTCTCTGGAGGGTCTCAGCAGCCAGAGCTGAATGCGACACACCAGACGAGGCATGACCAACATAGGGCCCAGCCAACCAACTTCTCAGGGTCACAACACGGGAGAACTGATAGTGATGTGGCCTAAGATGGCATCTGCTTGTGGGGCTGCTGAATCCCTGTTAGCTGGCATGCCCCTCCCCCCGGCTCTGCCCTGCCCCACTCCCCCAGTACTGGAAGAGCAGAGGTGCACCAGATGTGGTTATAAATAACAGGGGATTATTACTCTCAAGTAATTTAGAAGAAAGCACATCAATTCTTTGAAATTATTTCATAAAATGCGTGTCAGTTTAAAATTCCCTTTTTCTTTGATATTATACATCTCTTCAATTTACAACAGCTATAATTTTGTATTTCCTGAGCCTAGTTTTTATAACTTTACAAGTCTTTATATTCTAAACACAAACTAATATTAATGGATTACTTTTCATAGTTTGATTTTATCATGTAAATTTAAACGTTAAGAAAATAATAGAATAATGGGGCAGCTAGATGGTGCAGTGGATAGAGCCCTGGCCCTGGAGTCAGGAGGACCTGAGTTCAAGCCCAGCCTCAGACACATAACACTTACTAGCTGTGTGACCCTGGGCAAGTCACTTAACCCCATTGCCTAGCCAAAA